AAGAATTTGATTGCAGATTGTATGTCAGCATGCAGGGCCGTCTCCAGGAATTCGGGGCCCCGGTGCGAAATGCAAAATAAAGTCCTAAAGTTTTAAAAACTCTTGTAACTAAAATATTTATATACAACTAAGGAACACTCTCGTTTAAGCCATTACCTTTAAATATGCGGTATTTTGTACAATATTGTGGAATGTATCAAATACACCAACTATCTTCTATAAAGAACACATCGGTGAAGCAATAAACATAGAACAGTTTATTAAGTAACTTACTTAAGAAGTGATGCACATATATAGTATACCCATTAACCATTAAATTATTGAACATGAAAAATGACCTAAATAATACTTCTTGGTCTTGGGGCCACCTGATAGACATGGACTGGTCGGTGATTCATCAAATCAATCTGGCCTAAGCCCGAGCGCTTGACCGCCGGCTAGCAGCGTCTGCCTTCTGCTTTTCCTGGCTACGTTGGACCTTGCTTGGGCTCGTTTCTGCTCGAATTTGTCAGGCGAATTCAGGAAGGCTGGAAAGAATAGTGTGGCACAAGGCTGAACCAGAGGGGGGAGTTGGGGAGAGGCTCGGGTCATATGATCGATCGATTGGGAGGAAGCACTCGGGCGGTCAGATCAGTCCTGATAAAAAATATACAACGTTGGCCCAAAAAATTGGGGCCCCTTGGGATTTAGGGGCCCGGTGCGTTCGAACTGCTCGCACAGCCCCCTGGATGGGCCTGTCAGCACGAGGATGCAGTACTTTAAATTTCAGCATGCGTATTTGTGCAGATTACATGATATGTGAACTTCTTAACAAGCCGCCCAAATGACGAAGATATACTTTGAATTTTAACATTAGCATTGGTTTATGGTGTTGTGAAAGGCTGCCATCGACTTCTATCTTAAGTTTAACATTAGCATTGGTTTATGGTGTTGTGAAAGGCTGCCATCGACTTCTATCTTAAGTTTAAACATAGTAATACATAGTGTTGCATTGCCCATATACCCAAAAAGGCTTTATAAATCATTTGCAGATTTTATACTTATACGATGATATTATATAGTGTTGCATTGCCCATATACCAAAAAAGGCTTTCACCCCGCTTTATAAATAAAGCAAACTGCCAAGAGCACACATACACGGACTAATTCAGAACACACACACCCAGGTCACACAACAAGGAGTACAAAGATTCTGCTGAGGGCATAGCTCAGCCCAAAAAAATAAAAAAGGAAGGCGGCCGCAGCCGGCGACGAACATGCCAGTCATCTAATCAGGCTCTGGTGGTGGCGGAGGGAGCGGAGGCGAAAGGCGGACGTCCATCAAGCGTGATGAAGGTGGAGATGGCGTCCCGATCCTAAGGGTGGCTAAGAGGTCGCCAGAGCTGCTAGAAAACAGACAGTTTCAAGAGAGCGTCAGTAGCCCGTCAGAGAGGGATGCGCTGAATCACAAGCTTATTGCGGATCATCCACTACAAGAAATATGTCAACTAGTGACCTTCTGGCAGTGACCCTGGAAGAATTGGTCATAGATCTATGACCATTTGAGACCAATTGATCAAAAGCTGTTCGGAGGGCTCCAAACCCTACACCATTGCGACCATTTTGGTCAGAAAGGTCGTAATTTCCTTACATGAAATGGTCATAAAGCAAACAACGCTAGTCCGTTGCCTTATTTCTAGTTGTTAATGACCAATATAGATGGTCATAGCCTTGTAAATTATGGTGTGTTGCTATGACTAGGCGCCACCTCATCAGTTTTGCCTATGTGTCATGTCCATGTGGCAGTTTTTGCCCTAGGTTGTGAAGCAACCTATATTTCTGTCATTCCCAAAATTCTCACAAAAAATCTCATAAATTCTTTGGGTCATATCTTCGTCAAATATGTAAAAACCTTCCTTGCCTAGTTCAAAAATAATTCAAAAATATTCATTTTCCTATTCTGGTCAGAACAACAGTTTGTGAAGGAAGTACCAATTTGGCATGTCTAAATAGTATCCATTTTCTACAGTGTTTTCCTATGCCCAAATAACCATCCTCCACCAAATGCCAGCTCAATCCATTCATTATTTTGAGCCGAGCTTCAACATTCGTAGTTATGTCCAGTGTGGTAGTTTGCAAAGCAAGTACCACCTAGGCTCCTCCTTTTGAGATGAAAATTTGTGAAGACAGTCTTCTTAGTAACTGTTCATCCCCAGCCAAAACTCACGCCCATTAGCAATGTACATTTCCCGTACCGCTAATCAAACACTTGGCTGCTAATTCATGTTTGAGCATCGATCGGTCTCCTCGTGAGAATCTTATGTTGTAATTTTCTTCCTAGCACCTACCTGGGGAGTGCTCAGCCCGCTAGACATGCCTAGGCTGCCCTAAACATATGGCAACGCCACGGTCACGCGGTGACCACGCGGAGGGCATGCGAGTTTACGCGCTCTAGAGTTGGGGGCCTAGGCCACCGCCTAAACCTCGACGTACCGCTACCAAACCATGTATTTATGATTAAATAGGTGCTTATGTAATTATAAATGATTTTTGGAAAAAATAAATAGTAAACTATGAGGCAGCTGCAGTTCAAATTTGACCCGCTTTCAGCTGAATCGGCGGAAATTTGTCTTTTTCACGAGAGGTGGATCAAAACTTTTTACACTAAACTATTTTGTCAATTGTGCATTAAATATGTCCTACTATTTTATAAAATTGTTTTTGTCCAATTTTGTAACAATTATTTGGAAGGTCCTTCACAAAAAACCTCCTTTGGGGCACTCGAAAAATGGAAAATGGTTTTTTCGTCCAAAGAAAATGAAAACTTCCTTAGACAACATTATTTGTCATTCCAATATACACCCTTGTGCACAATATGAGATCATTTGAACAAACTATGCCATGAATATGGCCATAAGATTGATCATTTGGCTTGAAAGCCATGAATCTTCACACATGATAGCTCATTTCTGAGAATACTTTTTAAAAATTATTGCCGTATTACAACTTTATTATTTTTCCTGGAAACTTGGTTAAATATAATGACGCAATGCGAAGATTTTCCAATTTTTCGATTTTTTTTTGAATTTTTTATGCCCGTTTCAAAATGCGGTCAAAACGGCGGGAATGATCGTTCCTAGCTAGTTGTTGAATCTTGGAAATTTTTTGATGTTTCTATGATTAAATAGATACTTATGTACCTAGAAATGATTTTTTGAAAAAATAAAGAGCAAACTATGAGGCACCTGTAGTTCAAATTTGACCCGCTTCCTACTGAATCAGCGACAATTTATCTTTTTCACTAGAGGTGGATCAAAACTTTTGACACCCAACAATTTGATCAATTGTGAATCAAATATGGCCTAGTATTTTATAAAAATGGTTTGGTCCAATTTTGCAACAAATATATGGTAGGTCCTTCACAAAAAGAACTCAATTCGGGCACTCGGAAAATGGAAAATGAATTTTCCGTGCAAAGAAAATGAAAACTCCCTTAGGAAACATTGTTTCGAATTCCAAGATGCACCCTTGTGCATAATATGAGATCATTTGAACAAACTATGCCATGAATGTGGCCATAAGATTGATCATTTGGCTTGAAAACCCTGAATCTTCGCGCGTGATAGCTCATTTCTGAGAACACTTTTTTAAAATAATTGTCGTATTACAAGTTTATTATTTTTCCTGAAAACTTAATCACATATAATGACATAATGTGAAGGTTTTCCAATTTTTTAATTTTTTTTGAATTTTTTATGCCCGTTTTAAAATGCGGTCAAAACGGCGGGAATGGCCGTTCCTAGCTAGTGGTTGAATCTTGAAATTTTTTGATGTTTCTATGATTAAATATATACTTATGTACCCAGAAATGATTTTTTGGAAAAAATAAAGAGCAAACTATGAGGCACCTGTAGTTCAAATTTGACCCGCTTCCCGCTGAATCGGCGACAATTTGTCTTTTTCACTAGAGGTGGATCAAAACTTTTGACACCCAACCATTTGATCAATTGTGAATCAAATATGTCCTAATATTTTAGAAAAATAATTTGTTCCAATTTTGCAACAAATATATGGTAGGTCCTTCACAAAAAGAACTCAATTCGGGCACTTAGAAAATGGAAAATGAATTTTCCGTGCAAAGAAAATGAAAACTCCCCATATCAACAATGTTTGTCATCACAAGATACACGCATGTGCACAATATTCATTCATTTTAACAAACTACACATTGTTAATATGTTGAATGTTTGCCCTGAATAAGAGGATAAAAACAATAAGAGAAATATAAGCTGAATTCTGATTGGTGGAATTCGTTGTGGCATGGATCGATGACGTGGCAAACATCCGTCCATCCGTCCATCTATACATCCATCCATCCGTCGATCCAACCCACTGCAGCCTCTCTCTTTCACACGCGCGTGAACCCTAGCCGATCCAGATCCCTCCCCGCCCCCAGTCCTCTCCCCCGATCCAGATCCCTCCGCCGCTGCCCCGTCCTTCCGCCGCCCTCGCCCCGGTCTGCACCCTTCCCTTCCCTCCCCTCCACTCCTCACTCGCCTCCGGCCTCGGCCTCCGCCTCGTCACGGTGGGCCAGGGCCATGGCCGCCGCCACTGCGGGCCGCACACGATCTCCACCGCACGCGCCGGGATGAGCCAGAGCCCCGGGCCGGATCCGGGCCCCGAGAAGTCGGTCGCGTGGCCGGACCTCCGAGGCAGCCTCGAGCGGGTCGGCGCCCTCACCGCGGAGCTCGCGGCCGAGGCTGAGGAACAGCCTCGAGAGGACGCGCACGAGGTGAGAATGCTTGCTCGCTTTGCTTCGGTTGGCTTTGCCCCCGCTCGCCGCGCCCCTTTTGTTGAGCATGGCATGATCCTACTGCTGCACGTGAGGAGGCAGTCAGGTGTGGTAGGGCGCGGCGCTGGACGAGATGAGGCGGCGGCTCGAGTGCCGGTGGGCGCGCGCGGACGAGCTCGCCATCGCCAGGCGGAGTGCCGGCGAGGGCGTCGACCGCCGCAAGGAGCAGATGCAGGCGCAGATCGAGCAGGTGCTGCAACTCTCCAGAGCCCTCGCCGCCGCGCACCCACAAGTGCAGGTACCTGCCCGCCTGTTTTTTCCTCTCCACGCGAGACCAGAACGCATTGGAGTATAATCCATCCGATAGTTGTGGTTGCCTGCGTTTGGTCCGATAGAAGTATAATCCATCCTGTACCCTGTACCCTGTCCGGGTCTTCCGTGAGCTGCCTGTTGCAGAGAACCACTATTCCCGTACCAATGGTGAGAATTCAGTACTCGTGTGCCTCCCCTGAGCAACAATGCTTAATAGGATGTGCATGATTTTAGCGTGCGTGTATGTCCCATAGGCCCATATAAGCAATAGCAATCATTTTGAAAGCATATGTCACACATATAATGTGAGACAACAGTACATTGTCAGCACCAGTATTATTCCACATCCTAAATTGCATGTGCAGAATTTTGTCTGCCACCCCGTTATGCCTGGAGGTTTCCCTTCATAATTCTAAGTTGGCGATTCTCTGCCCTATTGTCTAGCTGTGGCCACCAGGTGGTGGCCTTTCTGGTCAAGGTGGTCACAGCATCAATATTTATTTGCTCTGTTTGTAATGCTTGATGTTTAGCATGTGAAACTGGGTTTTGCATGATAAATTAGTCACCTTTGGCGATTTCTACAGTAGAAATGTGACTTCCTTTGTTAATTAGCTTTGGAAATCAGTTGTGATCTTAGTATCATGTGCGTAACTGTGTATGCTTATATGATGTCTGGCACATTTCCTGTACCAACAATATAAATTTGTGAGCATAGCTTCTGTTGTCAGTGCAGACAAATGTTCCTTGTAATGTACATACTCTTCCTTTTTTTCGAGTGTCATTTCTGTTTATCTTGTGCTGATGCTACTTAGTATGTACTCACATCTTCATGCTGGAAGGATAATACTGTAGGTAGACCATTTACTATTTTTTTCATTTTTGAATATGGCCAACTCCGCTTCCCCCCATCTGCATATCCTATGTTCTGAGGGAGTGCTGCTTAGTTTTAATACATATGAGCATAATTATGAAATAGTATCGCTCATCGCCCCCCGCAGGCCTTTTTAAGTTCCAATCAATCCAATCTGCTAGTTTAGTTTGCCACAGTTTGGGGCTACTCCAATCTGAACATGTCCCTGTAGCTTGGAGTGCCTTGGGTTTCACTTAACATGTGTGTACATGTATGGAACAGAGGAAAAAATTAAGAGGGCAATTCAATTTCAGAGAGAAAGAGAGAGAGAGATATGTACATGTATGGTTCAGGCAATGATTTATGCATGTATTCTTGGACTGCACCATGGATGAGCATGTCTTGTTCAACTAAAAGAATTTATTAATTGAAAAGAACTAACTCCAACAAGTAATACGTGCAGGTACTTGTGTGGTGAGAAGCAACCTCCGGCTGATCATCCAGGTCGTGGCGCCCCCTCACCCCGTGCATTTGGCGAATGTTTGGGAACTCTTTTGTAAATTGGTTAATCAGCATTGTATTGTACCACTTCCTGGTTGCCGTATCAAATATTATACCATTGCACTATTTAGTTACTTTTCAAAGTTGTGATAAATATAGTTCTTTTTTACTTTCAAGTCTTCCATTTTTCTCATCTACGCTGTGTGTCTATATATAGCAGCACAGTTTTAGTTGCTCCGTAGGTTATCAGTAGAACTCAACTAGCCAATTAACAAGTGAACTCTATGCATTTGCTGAATCCATATTTAGAAAGTTCACTTACCCTGCTACTATAACAAACTGCTGGTGGTGGCTCTTTCACAGGCAGTACATGCATCATCAGTCCTATATAGCTGCTGCTCATGTACTCATTTTGTTCTAGGAAAGTGGGAGGGCAGGGGCCCTTGATTTTCTTGCATAATTTGAGCAAATTTGATTTTTATTCTCTGAAGTTGATTCTCATGTGTGGTCATACCAACAACACATGCTTAAGACATCAGTGGCTGGACTGTAGATGTTTGAACCAGGAAACAAATTGTGGGGAAATGGTCCATTTATCCTTTATTGCTTTGTGTTTTATCTTCTAGAATTAGTGTACTTTACTTATATGTTTATATGTTGAATGACAGAAGCTCAAGGTGAAGAAGGCCATCGAGAAGGGCAACGCCGACGGCGCCCAGATCTATGCGGAGAACGCCATCCGCAAGCGCACCGAGCACATGAACTACCTCTGCCTCGCCTCCCGCCTCGCCCCATATGCCCATGAGTGATATATACTACTTGCCTACTGCTGTATCATATTGCTTACTTTTTTACATCAGATCAACTATGAAGAGAATTGGTGGTGGTTAGGGTGTTCTAGTGCTTATCTAATCTTCTTTCAAGCCTTTCGAGATAGAGTTCTTTAGCTGACAAGTTTAGCAAATGCTGTAGTGCTTATGTTTTAGTTTTACACCTGCGTAAAAATGAATGGCTGCTACTGTTTCTAATTTTAGGTTGGAATGAGATGCAAGTTTGCATGCTTGTGCTTCTGTCACTACAATCTATACTACTGCTATTGTCATATCCTGGTTGTCTTGTTGCTACCAATATTTTTCCCATGTTTTGTTTCCTTGCATGCTTACTACTACAATCTATACTACTACCATTGTGCAAGATGTTCACATGTTAATTTTGGTTGACTAAAATCTCTTATGCCGTTGACTTAGCTTGACCCAGAACAGCAGCATCCTTGATGCGTACTAACCTTCACCTCGTTCTTTCTCTCGCAGACTCGAAGGTGGCCTTATGCAAGGCACCAAGGTACATGGTGCTCGCAAGCGATGAATGGAGGCTGTTTGACATCGGCTACGCAAACCACCATTGTGAGCTCCTCCCTTTGCTATCCTACAACCATGCTCTGTTTCATTGGTTAGTTAAGATTTTGATGCTTTTCGCGCCGTGGTTGAGTCCTTGCCGACTGTTGTGTCGACGATCAAGTGCTGGTGTTCGTGCCGTGGTTGAGTCCTTGCCGACTGTTGTGTCGATGATCAAGTGCTGGTGCCTCATCTGGCTATTTTATTTGCTGCTAGTAATTAGTAGTATTAGAGTGTCTCTCCTTAGGGGTTGTTTTAAACAACAAATGATCTACTGTATTAATTTTTTGCTGTTCAAAGATTGCAATCCTAGTTCATTTTCAAAGATCGAAATGTTGTTGACCCTGTTCTTCTATGCTTAAATGGTAAAAATGTCGCATTTTGCTTGTTCTAACCACAAGACGCATGAGGCGTCCGTGCCGATGCATTTAGGCCGCAAATTTGGGTTGCAAATGCGTCGGCGCGAACGCTTTTTGGGTTTGGGTCTGCGCGTTGGGCCTCTACATTTGTCCGCACTGACCCAAACGGATGCATGCGGACGTTTTGGGTCAGCCCGTTGGAGTTGCTCTTAGTCAGTCCAAACTGTGCATCATCATGCAAATAATATAAGAATTATGTCTCAAAAATAATAATATAAGAATTGATTAAACTTTGCGTCAAGAAACTAATATAAGAATTGCAACTCAATTTAGGGCCTGTTCGGAATAGTCTTGTAAAACAGAGGAAAGCAAAAAAGTAGAGGAATGTGATTAGCAGCTAGTGGCAAAACAAAGGAATAAAAACAATGGAAAGAAATCGGTTATGCATGGAAACTTTTTCAGTGAGAGATATCAGTAGAATATTTTATTTGGCTCAAGGCCCCACACAACACACAAACTTCATTGTTTATGTACTGGAATCGTCTTGCACCTGTACAGAACTACTGCCAACGCAGCAGCATGCCTCGGGCATCCGCCCGAACAAGAGGTTTGCCTCGATTTTTCTGTTCCCATGAAAAGTAAAGGAATGCAAGCCTTTCCAGAGAAACTCGTGAAGCTATTCCTCTGAGTCGAACGGCTTGGTAGTAATTTTTCCCAAAGGAACGTACACATGTACGGTTCCTCCAAAATTCTTAGGAAGCGAACGGGCCCTTAGCTCGCTGGCGCATCAGAGCTGCATGTGCGGGAGGTCTTTTTAGTTTGATTCCCCACAGCAATCTGTTATATTGTTTTGTTTATTCATTCTCTGTTACATTGACAAGAGGGCCCGGTTCCAACCTGACGCCCTGTTATAACAGCAGGAGACGGTGCACAGGTAGAATTGACGGAATTGTATGAAAATGTTCTGTTAGACAAGTTTAAGGATCACTTTTATGGGGTTTTTTAGTTCTTATATGAATATGTTCCCACCAGGACAAGTTTATGTACTAAAAATGATATTAACTCTTTTTCTTAATAACTTGTAGATGCGGGCCTTCGTTCATGTTTTGTCGTGAGGTCCAGGATGAACAAGTTGGGATAAGCATTGGAGCTAGTTATACTGTGATAGTTGTGTTACCTGATGTGAACATTTTTTTTATTGTAAACTTGATGTGAACCATATTTTTCTGTAATAATGTGTTACCAGGATGAACCATCCTTGTTGTGTTACCAGGATGAACAAGTTTGATTGTAATAATGTGCCAAGTTTGGCTCTTTCACGATTGTATTCGTGACACCATATTTTTCCTGATTAGTCGTGCTCTGTTTGAAGCATTTTGTTTTCTCTTTGTTCAGATTTAAATTTTGTTATTTATTTACTGGAAAATTGAGATCCGAAGAATATAACAGTGACAACTGGGATCCACTTGTTAGAACCTGACAACTGGGTCCCATCTCACTAGTGGGCTCATCTTTTGGAAAAACTAAAATAAAAAAGGCCATGGCCAAGAAAATAAAAAGGCCGAATTCTTGGGCCAGGCCCATGTAGCTAATAAAAGCACAGGAAAAAAATATATAGAAAGGCCGAATTGTTGGGCTTGGCCCATGTAGAAAATCGAATTGGACCGGGCTGATTCTTGTGCCACATCAGATTGCCATTCGGATGCCTAAGTGGCCTGGGGAGGCTGCTAGTGACCAAAACAAAACAATAGGCATATTTTGGTCGTCCACGACCTTCTCACAGAGAAGGTCGTTAATTTCAGTTTACGACCGCCAGCTTTTGACCTTCTGTTTTTGGTCAAAAAAAGATCGCAAATGAAAAACAATGACCTTTCAGTGACCAATAGTCAAGGTCACAAGTTGACATATTTCTTGTAGTGATCAAGAGGGTCCATGCGAGTGCCCCAATATCGAGCCACCTAATGTGGCGAGAGGGCAGGGAGAGTTCTGGAGTTCGGCGAAGAGGTCAGGGAAGTTGGTGTGGCACCAATCACCGCCCACCACTTCTCTTAAGCAGCTCCAAACGAATGGAGCGGACATGCAGGAGAAGAAGATGTGATTAGAATCTTCGGGGGTACCGCACAGCGGGCAGAGGCCAGACCCGGGGCCATTGCGCTTGCGAACCTCCACCCCAGACGTGATCCGTCCGCGGATCCATTGCCACATGAATATCCGGATTTTTAGTGGCAAGCACATGGACCACACCGCCGAAAGGGGGGCGAAGGAGGGGGCGATGGCCAGATAGAGGGACTTGGTGGAGAATTGGCCCGAAGGCTCAAGACGCCACCGAACCTCATCCGGGCCAACATCTACAACCGGCTCGTGGAGAGCGACGCAGTCAAGCAGCTCCGGCCAAGCGGTAGCCTCCATAGGACCAAATGGCCTCTAGAACGCGAGGCGCCCTCGGTCAATAAGGGCCCTCTCTACAGAGATCGAGGGGTCGACGGTGATGGAGAAGAGGTCGGGGAAGCGGGCCGTGAAGGGGGTGTCACTCGCCCATCGGTCAAACCAGAACAAAGTCGCCACCCCCGACCCAATCGAGATGGAAGTTCCGATGTAGAGAACAGGGAGCAGTTGGATGACCGACTGCCAAAACTGGGAACCGCTGGATCTTTGATAGGAGGCCAGGGGTTGCGCACGCAGGTACTTATTCCGGATGATGTCTAACCAGAGGCCGTCGTGCCCTTGTGAAATGCGCCAAAGCCAGAGGGAAAGGAGGGCAATATTCATGCAGTTAGAGCACATGATACCGAGGCCTCCTTGATCCCGGGGCTTGCAGATGTCAGGCCAGCTAACCATATGGTACTTTTGCTTATTATTATCACCGGCCCAATAGGATCGAGATTGGATTTTGGCGATCTCATGGTGAAGAGTCTCGTGAAGGCTGTAGAAGCTCATGAGGAACAAGAGGAGGCTGTAGAGGGCGGAGTTGGTGAGAATCGTCCGAGCCGCCTTCGACAGCTACCTACCCTGCCATGGCTCAATGCGAGTCTGTAACTTGGCCACGGCCAGACGCAAGTCAGCAACAGTAAGCCGAGAGTCACTAATGGGCGTGCCCAAGTAGGTTGTGGGGAAGGAGCCTAGACGTCAGTTGAGACGGTTGGCGATGTCAAGGGCCTCCGCCGAGGAGTATCCCAGTACCATCACATCACTCTTGTCAAAGTTGATCTTGAGGCTAGACATTTGTTGGAAACAGAGGAGGAACTTAAGGTTAGCGATGTCCACGTCCGAGCCTTCGACCATGATGATGGTGTCGTCGGCGTACTAGAGCAAGGAGATCCCGGCGCCACCGGCCAAATGGGGAGTGATCCCATGAATATGGCCTGCGGCCTTAGCTTTGTCCAGGATGGCAGCAAGCGCGTCCACGACCAAATTGAACAAGAATGGGGAGAATGGGTCGCCTTGTCTGACCCCACAAAGAGTGGGGAAGTAAGGGCCAATCTCCCCATTGATGTTCACAACCGTGCGACCGCAAGAAACCATCTGCATCACTCTGGTGATCCAATGTTCGTCGAAGCCTTTCCGGAGCAGAACTTCCCAAAGGAAGGGCCAACTAACAGTGTCATAGGCCTTATGGAAGTCAATCTTCAGAAGACCGCCCTGAGGTGTTTGGATCGGACCTCATGTAGGACTTCATGAAGGACTAGCACCCCATCCAAGATATATCGGCCTTGGATGAAGGCGGAATGGTTGGGGTGGGTAATGTGGTCGGCAAGAAGGGTCACCCTATTGGCGTACCCTTTTGCCAGAATCCGGAAGATCACATTAATCATCGTGATCGGACGAAACTAGCGGATGTCAGACGCCCCAGGCACCTTGGGAATGAGAGAAATGATCCCATAGTTGAGGCGCCCGAGGTCGATGACCCTACGTAGAACTCACCGAAGATGGCCATGATCCCAGGCTTGATCACATTCCAGAAGGTCTAGAAGAATTTAACCGGGAGGCCATCCGAACCCGGGGCCGAGGTAGGGTTCATGCCTCTAATTGCAGCCCAGACCTCGCCCTTGGAGAAGG